GTAAAGCTGGCTTCAAGTAGTCTTATTCTTGCCTAGTTGGGGTTGGCAATGGTTTTGTAAAAGGTGAATATTTTTACTAGTCTTAAGACCTCAAAAGTTTCCATTTTATATGTCATATTATACGTGCTGGGCATGGTGGTGCACATCTGTAGTTCCAGCTGCTTGGGAGTCTGAAGGAGAAGGAACAGTTGAGCTTAGAAGTTCAAGATCAGCCGGGCGGTGGTGGCACACACCTTTAATCCCAGCACTCAGGAGGCAGAGGCTGGCGGATCGCTGTGAGTTTGAGGCCGGGCTGGACCGACAGCCTCCAAAACAATACAGAGAAACCCTGTCTCATAAAAACCAAAAAAAAAAAAAAAAAAAAAAAAAAAAAGTTCAAGATCAGCCTGGGCAACATAGACTTGATTTAAAAAGAAAGTTGTGTCTTTCTTCGTGTGAATGAGGGTAAAGATGAGTGTCAAGATCTCGAGATGAGGTGTGAGATGGTAATTTAGAGCAGCCCTCCCCGGTGTGCTTGCCATCCACGTGAGTGTCATGTGTGTGCACACCCTTTACTGGAGGTAGTGTCTATTAGAAGTGCAGTCTGAGGGGCTGGGAAGATGGTTCAGTCAATAACACAAAGACCTGAGTTTGATCCCTAGCACCCACATAAAATCCAGACAAAGGCATACTCCTGAGATCCCGGCACACAGAGGGGTCCTTGGAGTTTGTTGACAAGCCATTCTAACAAAATAAAAGAGTTCCAGATTAAATGGGTGATAGTGTCTCAAAAAATAAGGTGAGAGTTACCAAGGCAAACACTTGATGTAAACTTATGGCCTCTACATGCATCTACATATATGTGCATGTGATGTCAACACACAGGTGTATACACAAGAACACACACACACACTGGTTGAAACCTGGCAACCACCTTTCTATGATATATTTTATCAGTTGCTTGAATGATTTATGTATGATCAAATTTTGCATGACATTTTAAAGTTTATAGCTCAATCTTAAGACAAAAGTCGGGAAACACTGTGTTAGTGTCTGCTAAAACTCATCAGGTACTGTGACTCTGATTCATTTCATAAGGAGCCACGAGGCCAAACACTCTCAACAGAACAGACCAAAGTCTAGAGTGCTAAGTAGGGAACACCCAAGCATCCACCTGTGTGGCAGGGTGGAGCCTTCAAGGACAGGTAGCTTGTTTTCCTGGGGCTGTTTACCTGGACCAATAGGAAGAGCAGGCATTGTCTGCTTCTCCCAAAGGCTGCTCTTTTAAAGCAGTGCCCACAGTCATTTCAGTTCTGTCTACTAATGGCCCAAACCCAGAGAGACAGTTTTGTAAATATAGCATGATGTCACTAGTCCATGAGGACAGGTAGGAGATTGGGTCCCATTAAGTTCACAGCTGCTTTAGACTTCCGTTTGTTTGTGTGGTGTCGGGGGTAGGTGGGTGTTGAACCCAGGGCTTTGCACACGCTAGGGCAAGTGTTCTATCACAACCACATTCCTAGCTCTCAGACTGGCTTTTCATTTTTCTTCCTTTTTCTCCTTTCTTTTCCTTTCTTCTTTTCTTCCTTCTTCCCTCGCTTCCTTTTTCTCTTAGAATTACCTATTTAGCAGAGTTGACATTGTTTTAAAGTTCTACACCTATTTGTCTACTCCCTTGTGGACAATTCCCTGGCAGAGAAGACTGAATTCTCTTGGCCCTTGAACTCTTGTCATATTGCTTTACGCTGTTCTTACAAATAAAACAACCATAAACACAGAAGCAGCCCACTCTTAAGTTTACCCACCCTGCTGTCCTCATAAAGGTAGTCCTGGCCAGAACCCAGAAGTAATGGGAGCAGGACCATTAGCAGAAGAGACTCAGCTCACAGCCTTGTCTGTTCCAGCACGCACGCACGCACGCACGCAGGCCCTGACAAGTGAAGAACTTCCGAGGATCCAGAAATCATTGCTTATAAAACAATCCAGATGGTATGACCACAGCAGACAGCCTTCAGGCGTTGGCCTGATCCTACCCAGTTCCGGATGTGCAGACCAGAAGAAACTGTGTATCTGAGTGCTTGCTTGGGTATTTGTAATACTCGTCTCTGAGAAAGACAGACAAATTGAACTGGGGGTGGTTCAGAAGCTGTTTTAGCAGAATTACTATATTTTAAAGATCACAGCAATACCTACCTCTAAAAATTTCTTGCATAGCAGAAATTAGTAAGCTGAAATGCGTTTCTTTCTCGCCACCTGCCTCTTGCCTAATCACAACAGTTCAGCTAGTGGAGGCTTAGTGAAGTCATGAGTAGCTGGGGCTACAGAATTGAACACATACATGACCCTGCCTTCCTATTCTAGTGGGAGGAGACGGACAAGCAAGGAAACGAACTGAGAAGGCTGTTCTACATTCAGGTAGGATCTGAACCATGAAAAGGAGTCACTACTGAGTTTTTGTGGGACGGAATCTCCAGAAATACGTTAGTTTGATCTGAAATGTCCCCTAAAAGCCCACAGGCTGATGCCTTTGTCCCCAGACGCTGGCGATATGTGGCAGTAGAGGAACTTTGGTGTGGGGACATAGCGGAGAGTTGTCTGCTAGGGATGTGTCCTTGAAGACTGAATGCCGGCCCCTGCCTCCCTACCACGCTCTGCTTTGCTTTCTGGCTCCTCAAAGTGAGCCGCCTTGTCCTCAGGTGCGTCCCACCATGATGTTCAACCTTGACCCAGCCCCAGCGCAGCAGACCAGCGAGCAGTGGACCGCTAGCCCGACTGTGAGCCTCGATGTGTCTTCATTCCTTTTAACGTTATTCCAGGTGTTTGGGCATGGTGACAGAAGGCTGAGATAACGATGGAGAGACAGGTGCGGGAGGCCAGGGGATTTATAGCAGGTCTCTTTGCTGGCACTTTCTGTAGTTGTCATTTGCTTTAGGCTGTCAACCAGCTCCCAAATAGACTCAGAGACTTATTAATTATGAATGCTTGGCCTTAGTTTAGGCTTGTCCCTTTTAACTTAATTTAACCTGTTCCTATTCATCAATTTTTTTGCCTCAGGTTTTTTTAAATCTTTCTTTCATTCCCATGTCTCATACTGCTCTGCTTTCTCTGTGTCTGTCTGTCTGTCTGGCCCCTGGTATCTCCCTAGAGTCTCTTTCACTTTCTCCCCTCAAGCCTACTTACTCTCTCTGCCTGGAAACCCTGCCTATACCTCTTCCCTCCTATTGGCTGTTCAGTTTTTTATTAGACCAATCAGGTGCCTTAGGCAGGCAAGGTAAAACAGCAATAGTTCTTTACATAACTAAACAAATAGAACACATCTTTATATAGGTAAATATTCTGCAACATAAACACAACACATCTTTACATAAACAAATACAACACATCTTTGCATAAACAAGTATTCTGCAACAACTTTCTGTGTTGAATAAGAAATTCCAGAAAGTTAAGTTCAACTTAAGCCAAGCATAACTGAATGGAAGGTTTGATCCATACCAAATACACTGAGAAGTAAACCAGAGCTTAGATTCTGGAAATCAGGCTTAGTGTCAAAGACAGCATCCTGTCACATACATCCTGAGGACACAGGTATGAGCCGCATCTTTGGAGGCTGTATAGATGTCACTGGTCAAAGCGTTTACTTTGGAATAGAAGACGTTCATCTGAACTTCATTAAGTACTGAAAACCAATCAAAAGCTCCAGGCACCGAGAACATAGCAGACCAAATGGCTCTTGCTTGCTGAGGTTTTATACCAGTGGAGGAAACACGCAGTCAGAAGAAATGAAGCGTGGTTGATGGTGAGGCTCGAGCAAGGAAACGGATTTTTGGGAACTGGAGGGCATCTAGTTAGGCCTCACAAAGATGGTGCGTTTGTGTAAGGGCATTTGAAAAGGGAGAAGTAATACACTGCTTAGGGTACAGGCGGGCAATGGTCCTGAGGCGGTCCTGTGTCTAGTGGGGTTGAAGGACACTGAGGGAGATAGAAGTTGTTAATGGATAGGCTTATAGGTTACAAGGTCAGGGTGCTAGAAAGATGTGTATGGAGAAGGGTGGGCCACTAGAACCTTGTAGCTAGGAAACATTCTGGCTTTAGTGATGAGTATAAAGTCAAAGTAGAGAGATGTTTTATACAAAGTTTTCTAAATGGACATGACTGGACTGCAGGGGAACAGAGGTGAACATCTTCATGCCTTGGAAAACAAAAAACGGCATTACGTATGTTTTTAATTCTTCTGGAGAAGAAATCAGCAGAAGTAAATCTGAAAGGAAACAAACCAGCCAACCCTAGCCTATCCTACTTTTCCTCACCATAATAAAGTACTTTCTCTCAAGCCCAGTCTCTTCCAGCCCTGGGCTACAGCCTGAGACCTTCCTTCAGACTGCCCCGTGTGCCAGTCAGGATCTTCTCGGTCTGAGTAACTGAGCACCTGACCCCAAAGCCTTAAGCAAAAAGCCTTTTACTATGTCACCTGAGGAGCAGTCCGGAGCTGTTACACAGGGCCATTCAGTAACATTTGGGTTCTAGGGAACCCTTTCTTCCAGCTTTTCTCTCCTGACTGGAAGATGCCAAGGACAGGAGGAATAAGGAAAAGACCTCTTACGGCTGACAGGGAGACAACCTTCTCTTGACGTGTCCCACTCCTGTGCCTCTGACCAGGTCCTGCAGCCAGCCCCTCAGCCGGCCCCTCAGCCAGCCCCGTCGAAAAAGGCACAGAGCACAGTTTAGGTCAGTGAATCACGAAGGATGGTCTGTGGCACCCTCGGGAGGGTCTCCCCCAAAATCCTCAAAGGGAATCTGAGGCCAGAGCTACTTCCGTTATGACACCCCGACATCTGCCTTTCTCACTTTGTCTGAGAACACAATGGGGTGTTCCAGATGCTACCAGAAATAGCGTCACAGACGGCGTGTAGAAACAACTTGAAAATCTGTATCCCTCCTACCGTCTTTGCATGGAAAGATGCATGCAGATTTTAAATACCATTACAATGGAAAACAATAAAGATTTTCATTAAAACCTGCTATCCATGTTGACATTGATGTTTAATTTTTTTGTGTTTCCCATTTCCATAGGATGGTATTTATCCACAGATGTGACCCCCACAAAGGAGAGCTTGGGGACACCTTGGTACTGTGTGAAGCACGTCCTGAACGCCTCTCATTCTTTCAGACAGGTTGGACTGACTGATGTGGCTAAGCCACGAGTGAATGTTCCATTACAGCGCTGGAATGAAATGGTAAAGATGAAGCCTTAATTGCTGTTTCAAAGAACAAATTCGTATTAAGGTATTTCCTTGAGATAGAAAAGAGAGTGACGTCCTGGAGGACAGCGGAACTTTCAAAATGCACCTTGGGTGACGGGCACAAGCACACCCCATTAATGGTCTTACTTAGGGATCAAGATAAACATTGTCGCTAATTTGTTTCTCACTAGCTTCAGTCCTGCGTCCCAAAGTATCGTTAAAACAATGGGTCCTTCAGCACTCGGGAGGCAGAGGCAGCCGGATCTCTGTGAGTTCGAGGCTAGTCTGGTCTACAGAGCGAGTTCCAGGACAGCCTCCAAAACAATAGAGAGACCCTGTCTCGAAAAACCGAAAACAACAACAAACAACAAAACGGGTCCTTGCTGTTTCTGACTGCATCCATCTGTATTCAGCATCTAGTCCATCTCCGTTATATTCATGCTTATTTCTGCACCTTCGCCTCCCATCTAGAGTGAGGGGATGTGCAGCCCTCATTTCTCTCTCCTTTGGTGGCGGTGGCATTCATACTTGTCTTCTTTTTATGCGGTTTCAGTCTCAAGACTGCTCTCAGCAGCCACTTAAAAGCCCCAGACCCGTTTTTCTCCTCCTCAGTAAACCCCTGACCAGACCCCCCCCCCCCCCCACCTCACCCTTTATCGTGATCTCTCCGTCTAAGCTCTCCCTTTCCTCGGGGAATTTTAGGCAGACTTCATAGGGAGGGGCAGACAGATTTGGCCCTGTGCTGTTTATGTGTTTTCTTTGCACTCACCGCGTGGGCCCAGGAAGTTTTTTTTTGTCTCCGATTTACAGTTCACAAGTGCCATTTCTTAGTTTTCCCCCATTGCAGCTGTCCCCGCCTTAGGCCCGCTTCTTCGCCCTAATTGTATGTACCCTGTTTTACTCAGATGACCCAGGCTTAGCCTCGAGCTCGCAATGCAGTCGAGGATGACCTTGAACTTCAGTTCTGCCGGATCAGAGACCCGCATCCTTAGGCGCCTGTGGTGTGCGGTCCTGAGGACCGAACCCAGGGCTCCACCGTCACTGTCCTGGCCCTAGCTTTACACGGATTTTTGTTCCGCACTCCAGAGGCCACTACACCTCCCTTTCTTCAGGACCTGACCTAATTTTGGGTGCCCGTCGGTGTCGCTGCCCCCGGCTCTCCTGGGAGCCCCACTTTTGCTGCTACAGGAGCCTTGGGGTGCAGGGGGCCTCGGAGGCCGGGGCTCTAGAGCGGCTGGGACCCTCCCCCTGCCCCCGGGGAGAGCTGGGGGCAGGGAGCAGCGGCCGGGTGAACCCGGGGGGTAACAGGTGCGGTGGCCGCAGCTGCGAGCCGCGAGCCGTTTGCTCGGGGGCGAGGGGGGAGGTCCGAGCTCCGGTCCTCTCCCGGCCAATGCGGGCCGCGGTTGTACGTCGCCTGGCAACCGGCGGAGCCAATGGGCGGCGCCAGCGCGGGGCGGGGTGGGATGGGCGTCCGCCGCGGGAGGCGGCGAGAGGCGGGCCTGGCGGGCCGGAGGCTGCGCGGAGCTGCGGGCGGGCGGACGGGCGAGCGGGCGGGCGGGGATCCGCTGCGTGCCGCCGCGGGTGCGGGCCCGCGGGCTGCGGGGGGCGCGAGCCGCTCCCGGTGCGGTGACGGCGAGCGGCGGGATTGTGACGCGCAGCCGGGGAGGCCACCGGGCTGGCCGCGGGCGCAAGGCACCGGGGCAGGCTCTGGGCGGGCTCGGCGCGGCCGTTGCGGCGGTTGGAGAGCGTTGCTGCCCGCCGCCTGCAGCGGGAGGTGCGAGGTAGGTTGCCGGGGGTGGGGGGCCCCGCGCCCCCGCGGGAGGGATGGGGCGCGGGCGGGGATCCCCTCGGCGCGCGGGCTCGGCGATGTCTCAGAGGCGGCCGTGGTCCCCAGCTGCTGCAGGGGAAGGTGCTTGCCAGTGGTCCAACCCCACGTTTTCAGGGGAAGCACTTACATCAGCGCCCCGGGAAGGTAGGCTTGCTTGGGGCATTATTTGGCCTCGGATTTCCCAGTGCAGTTGCAGAACTACAGTGAACGGCGAGCTCAGGTCAGCATGTGTTTTCTCCCTAGTGCAGATCGCCGGGTTATGCAAGTCACCTGGGCCCAGGAAATAGAACTTGCCAAGAAATTCCTCATCAGCACCAGTAGAGGAATCTTAGCTTTAACGCCTCCCCCCGCCCCCCGTCCCCCCAGTTCAGGCTCCTTAGTCCAAGTACCAGACTGATGATGACTGGGATTTCTGTCTAGAGTCTAGACTGCATGGGAGGTGGGGGGGTGGGTACCCAGTTCCCATACCCAATGGGTGAGAGCCTCCTGGATTTGGAATTTGCTTCCCATTCAGATTAGAGTCCCAAGCCTGGAATTAGATGAGCATAGTCCTCCCACAGAGCCCTCGAGGTGCTGGAAGAAAACCCTCCTAGCCCAGGATTTGATCTTGAACTGGGAAGGCCTGTATATGTGACACATTTACGAAGCTGGATGAACTTTGAAAAGATCTGGATTAGAAACATGCTGTCATGAAATTTAGAACCGACACAGATTTGTAAAATTTGGGTCTAGTAAAAATTCATCCATCCAGGCTCCTCACTCCCCAGGAGCTCGGCGGCCCAGGGAGCATACAGTGCTCTTTCAAACTAAACGAGTAGGAAAAGCCGGGATCTCACTTGACACTTTGTCCCGCCTGGTGTGCATACGAGTTCCTGCACAAAAATGGTTCTCTGAGAGGATTAGGGATGGATAGAGTTCAAGCCAGGGTGACTAGCGGGGCCTCTCCAGCTTAGTCATTTCACACCCTTCGGTCCCCTCATTCCCCATCTGTACAGTGAAGATAATAAGGTCCAGGGATTAAGTAACCGAGGGAAGCAGCTTGAAGATGAGTGGGTTATTCTAGATGCAATGTGGAAACTCTCCCCATAACACAGTGAGCCTTGTGACACGACCGATTAAGTGCTTAGCATCCTGGACTTGCTGAGGCGGGCAGTCACGAAATGGGAAGTTAGCTGTTTTTTGGTTTTTTTGTTTTTGTTTTTGTTTTTTTTACCCAGAGGCCTCAAACCCAGCCCAGTCAAATTATATACCTGGACTCTCAAAACTGGACAAACCGGCTCTTTGGCCCAAACTGCCTAGGATACAGATTTTTGTGAACGTGTCCTATTTAATATTCAGCTCCGGAGATCGAAAGACTAGAAAACACCTTGCCACAGTGACTTGAATTCATTTCTTGTTTAAATTGGAACAGTAAGCCTAGTGCGGCTGCTAATGCCTTTTATCCCAGCTTTCCAGGAGCTGAGGCAGGAGGATAGCTTGAGTTTAGGAGTGGGACAACATACTGATTCTATTTAAAAACAAACAACACCCCTTCCTTCTTGTCCTCACCCATTCCTTGGGGAACCAGACCCAGGGGCAAGGGTTCTGCTGCTGAGCTAGGGTCACATGCTCCTTTATTTTGAAGCTGGGTTGCGTCTCCCTCAGCCTCCCAGGTAGTTGGGGTTGTAGCCTGTGCCACGGCCCAGCTTCAAAAGCGACTTTTAGTGATAGCTCCTATGTCTTTTACAGTAGCTGTGAACACAACTTGTTGACATAGCCGTGGGTTCACAACAAGAGGCCTTGTGAGTCTGTTCTGTGCTGTGGGTAATTATGGTTAGCCAGTAATGAGCATACATCTTATCTTAGGACTTATGGGATAAGACAATAGAGAAATATGTCATCCATCTCGATATTAGTAACAGACAGACCTAGACTCACACCATCTGATGCTGGTCCAGGATCTTGTATAGTGTATGAGCAGATTTGTTATATGTTGCCCTAAATGTTTTGTACTTAGGGAGTTTTATGTGTGGAGAAGGGGGAGAAGGCAAGCGTGGGCGGGCTTTAGAAAGGAAGGCATTTCAGCGTGTCCTGGCAGGCACTACCAAGCACCTGGTGCCGTCTGCACAGCAAAACAGGTGCGTGTTCCAGGTGGCTGGCGACTGACTGAGTGGCTGAGGGGCTGCAGGTGGCTGCTGGAGCTGCATTTGTGATGAGTCGAGCGAGCAGTGTGGTGAACCTTGGCCAGAAGGCAGTAAGGAATATCTAAACCGTTTTATTGGGGGTTAGGTTGCTTCTGACACAGTAGAGTATGGCCACCCAAGTCAGTAATTTTCCTAGTCCATGGGGCTGTAGACTCAGACGGTTCAGTAATGCCTGAAAGTGGGTGCTTTTCAGTGGACATGTAATTGGGGCCCACAGAACCCTTAAGAAGCAGCATTGGTTCCTTGCAAGCAGGTCTGTGGCAAGCTTTCTCGTCAGCCAGGCTTCACAATAACATGGAAACTTGTTAGGGAAGCTTGGGCTTTAGCTTAGGCTTGTCTCAACTAGCTCTTAAAACTTAAATAATTCTTATTTTTATTAATCTATGTTCTACCATGACTTTTACCTCCATTCTGTGTCTAACTCATTCTGCATCTGGCTGGCGTCTCGGGCCTGCGTTCCTGCCTGTGACTTCCCCCTCTGCCTGGCAATCCCACCTGTCCTCTCCTGCCTAGCTGTTGGCCCTTCAACTTCTTATCACACCAGTCACAGCAACACATCTTCACCCCGTGTACAGATACTCCACCACACCAGTCTTGGTGAATTGTCTTCTGTGGCCAGGACTGGGTGGTAGAGCTCCAGGGGTGAAAGATGCTGGCGCCAGTGAACAGTAGTCACAGGGCAGGGCGGGACCTGCGGGGTGGGCAGCCCACACACGTCACAGGAAGCAGTGTGGGAGTCAGAGAGGAGAGTGCATCGATCACAGGCTCTCAGTGGAAGCCAAGCAGAATTGTCCTGTGACAGCTCCGAGCTCTCCTTCAGTGAGATGCCCCTCACCACACTGCTGGTCCTCTGTGTCATGGAGGAGAAGGCAGGGCAGTACTGTGACCTACTCCATAAGTGTGTCCTGGTAATACCCACAAAGGGCTGCTAGGTAATCCCTTTCTCAGAACAACTAAAGCAAAAACCTAAATGTGACTCAACACAAACTCCTAAGTTTACTTAAAATGTGAAATTTGGGTGAGGTTTTTTTGAATTTTGTTTTGTTTTTTGGTTGTTGTTTTTTTTGTAACTCGGTTGTGTAGTTCTCATGGGTGAACTTTGTGGATGATCATATCATTTCACAATGTCAAAGTCTGTTTGTGTCTGCCCTTGATTTTACTCCATTGAACACTCTGTAGGCATCAGTGTGTTCTGCCCTGATGTTGTCTCTACACGTCTACCCAAACCCAGTTTCATTAACCTTACCCCTCTGTTCTAAGAAAACTTTGTCTAGTACCAAAGAGAGCCTTGTACTTGAGAATGTGATCTTTCTGCCCAATTTCTGGCATATTTATCTTCAGTCCTTGTTTCCACCAAGCAGTCATCATGACCATTCTTTCTTGAAAATGTTTTTTAAATAAAAGTATGTGTACTTGTATAATGAAAATTGGGTCTTAGTATGGTGCTACATGCCTTTAATCCTATTACTCAGGAGACAGAGGCAGGTGGGGTCTTTGTGAACTTGGGCTAGCCTGGTCTACATAGTGAGCTCCAAGAAAGCCAGGGCTACATAGAAAAGCCCTGTTTCAAACAAACTGAAAACAAATTGGGATTAAAAAGCAGAAACAAACAAAAAAGTACTTTAGGATTTTCTGATTTTAGTTCCTGGAATACAGTCAGCACTAAAAAGTTTTTTTTTGTGTGTGTGTCAGGTTGCTAAAATAACTTACTTAGAAATGTTAAGTTTGGAGGAAATCTGCAAAATGTTGCTCTGAAAGAATTCCAGTCCTGTAATATTCTCGTGGTTGGCAGATGATCAGAATCCTGAGGGTACCAGCTAGTGACAGAATGTAGGGTGCTCTGGGTTATGGATTTGGTTGTCTGCCTCTAGAAGATAGCGCCTTCAGGGTTCTACTTCACAGACTGTCTCTCTATGTGGGTTCTAGAATGATAATGTGATGTCTCATCTAAGAAATGGTCAGCAAGTAGCCGTATTATTGTGAGGAAGAGACGGGCTCAGGGAACCTCCACCATTCTCCCAGAATGCCTGCTCAGTTAGTGGGCCAGGATCCCAGAGTCCTAGAAATTGTACCTAGTTTGTTTTCTCCCTTCCAGGCTTATCGCTGGCTGTAGATAAAGTATTTCTTAGTTTCTTCCATCAATAGAGTAGGGTTGTACCCACTCGCTGCTTTCCTATGGCTACCTGAGGAGTAAGCACGTGTGGATGCGTGGATGCTGGGCTTGTCATCTTCTCCATTAGCTAGCATTACTTAAACAGATGGAACACGCGCTGTTTATTCTCATGCCAAGGATTTTTTGCCAGTCTCTGGATAGCTTCATAGATCCCTGAAACTGTAGCTAGAGCTCCTGGTCTTTATACTTTTCAGGGAAGATGTAAAACAGTTGAATCCCAGAACCCTTGGCTAATTGTACCCCGTGGCCTTAAGGACTGGAAAGAATTTCAGATTTTTTTTAATGTGCTGAGCAGTGTGCATTTCTAAAGTTTATAAAGGACTTGAGCTATGAAGAATGAACGTTTGTATTCCTTGGTTCACCACACATTGTGCGTGTGTGTCTATGTGGGTCACATGGCGTGGGTGCGTGCGTGCTCAGCGTGCTTGTGCGGAAGGTCGGAGGCCAACCTCAGATGTGGGTCGTTGGGCGCCTCTGCCTTTCGTTTGAGACAGGGTCTGTTGCTGACCTGGGACTGTGCCGCTGTCGATGGAAAGAACTAGAGAGAGATGCCTTACTTCATTTCGGTATTTGTCTACAGCTATACCCTGGAGGAAGAAGGACCACAACGCTCTAAGATGCTCACACACCCTGCCCCGCTCTTAACTCAGAATGTCGAGTAGATGATGGGAATTGTCTGAGCCTGTGTCAGCATTAGAAAACAACGTGGCTAATGATAGGTCACATGCGGCCACCCATGTCAGCATTAGAAAATAACATGGCGAATGATAGGTCACATGCCACCACCCCTGGATTTGCCTGACTTTGCTACCGACTTTCCCATGGTTCCTGGAATCCACAGTCAGTTCCTCAGGCTCGTGAGACAAACTCTCATCACACATTCTTTTGCTAATTTGTTTTATTTATTTTCATGATAAAGTCCATCAAATACAAAGGGGTGCTTTGACAATAACCTCTATGTAACTGCAGACCCCTCCGTCCCTTTTTCATAAGGCAAAGATCACTGAATCCTATATCCTTCCTGTGCCTTACAGATTTATCCCATTTGTTTTCCGTGTGTGTAAATAAAAACCAAGTGTTACATGCCCCGTCTCTTGGAAGATCTTTTAGTGGTGTGTGCATTATAATTCATCTGTTGTGTGTCACTAGGTTTCCGATAGCTGCACAACAGCCTGTCTTGGGGTAGGTCCCACTTGTCCCTTCTGCTGTTGGAGGGTGAGTGCTTGGGTCACAGCCTGAGCTGTGTGAGGTACCTCCTGGAGTACATGTGTGCTGCACAGTCTGTCATACTGCAGCAACAGTCAAGGGTGTGCGAGGATGTCGCATGTGACATCAGTGTGGGGACTGCGACTGCATGCATGCAGGGCCCTGCATCCCACGGGAGAAAGAAAGCAGCTTTCTGACGCCACCTTTGACTAGGAGCATCACTAAAATTGTGTCGTCACGTGGAATCTTTTGTCATAATTTGTGTCCCCACATGATTTTATTCAGCCTTTGCCCATTGGGAGATAAGATTAGAGTTCTGTGTTTGGAGGGTTCATAGAGGAGATTGCTGTCATGCAGTGCAGGGCCAGATGGCCGAGAGAGTGGCCGTGTGGACCAGGGCTGGAGTCCTGTGAGGCTCTCTGCTCCTCATTAGCCCTGTGACCCTGGATGCATTACCTAACCCAGCGGCCCTAATTGTCGTACGCTTGGAAAGGGTGAGTGCTGCATACAGAGAAGGGATGGGGTGGGGTGGACTTGGAAATATGTGTGAGGCCTATAGACCCGTGTCCTGTGTTCTGGCTGCACTTTAATAACCATAAACTCAACATGAAGGCAAATCAATAAGGATAATAGCATTTTTTTTTAAACTTTGGCCCTTCTGGTCTGTGGTGCTCTTTCCTTTATGAAGAATTCATGCTGGTGTAAGTGCTGCGTGCCCACTGGTTACATCACTAGAGCTCTTCTGAAGAATTTGCATCTGGGGAGCATGCCTATAGTACTGTTCCATATAGGTGAAATAATTTAGATTTAAATTTGTAAAACTGAGAGGTTGAATTTAGTGTATTTTTGTACTTGCAGTTAGCAATTAAAAGCTGTAGTCTCCTCTAGAGTGAAATTATAAAGGTATTACTCATATTTTAAATAATGGAATTTTGTTTTTAAGATTAGTGACATAACTGAGTCTTCAAGTTCTATGACTGAATTTAGAAGATTACTAATGTTTGAAGATTTAGTTTTAACAATTTTATTTTCGTATTCAACAATCTGGTAACTCAGCTTGGTGGTATTTTAGCAGAAATGTTAGTGAACTATCTAAAATTCATTGCAGTATTTAGAAGGCCAGCTGGCACTGTGGTACTGTGTTCCTGGGTAATGGAAAGCTGTTCTTTTCTGACACTTGATGGTGTTTGTTGTGGAATTCTGATGAGGTAGTCATTGTGCCTTCTCAAGCTTGAATTGCAAGTCAACTTGGAAAGAACACTTAGAGAATGCATCGTGTAAAGAGTCCCTGACCATGAAGGTGGGGTTGCTGCCATATTCCTTTTCCCTTTGTAGATGAGGACAGGCTTAGGTGAGCAGGAGGGAGAGATGGGCGTTAGATCGCTTGTGCTTCTCAAGCATCTGCATCTTCCCATTGCCGCTTTCTTTGGTACGCATTTGCCCGTGTGGGCACACTGACTTGTCACGAGTTGGTCACTGGAGTTCTCAGTGATTACTGTTGATCATTTATGGTTGCATGTAGCTGAAGAAGGTGATGATGGCCGGGCGGTGGTGGCGCATGCCTTTAATCCCAGCACTCGGGAGGCAGAGGCAGGCGGATCTCTGTGAGTTTGAGGCCAGTCTGGTTTACAGAGCAAGTTCCAGGACAGGCTCTAAAACAATACAGAGAAACCCTGCCTCAAAAATAAAAAAAAAACAAAAACAAAAACAAAAAACAAAAAAACCCCAAAAAACAACAACAAAAAACTTGCATTACCTACTAGTTTGCCAACTTAACAGAGCAAACATGCATTATCTCTTATATCAGGAATCTGGGTGCAGCTTAGCTGAATGCCTCTGGCTCAGGCTCTCATCAAGGGTCATCATCTAGATACTGGCCATGACTCAGGCCAAATCTGCCTCCGACTTGGTTCTGGCTCTTGGCAGGCCTGGTGTCCTTTTGGCCACAGATGTCAGTTCCTTATCACAGAGGCTCTCAGGGCTGCTCACAGCAGAATGGCCTGCTTGGTCCAGAAAGAACCTGACGGTGCAGGAAAGGCTCACACGGAACCACACATCAACAGCCTGATTTTCAAAGTGAGATCACACCATGCCGCTTGTCCTGCAGAAGCTGCTCACTAGGTCTAGCCCTTAGCTAGGTGCAGAATGACCCAAGGCTATCCCACCCAGCAAGAACGGGCTAAGGGACTCGTAGAGCATGTCTACACCAAAGCTCTGCAGATTGTTGGTGTGTTGAGAACCTGAATCTTCAGAAAGGGTAACAAACTTCTCTGGCAGGAAAGATGGGTATGTTTAATCAGAACTCAAGTGTTTATGTGTAATGTCTTAGTGTTGATGTGCAGAGACAGTTCACAGGCTAGCCTGGATTTGAGACTAAGTTCTGCAGGAGAGGTGTGTTCTCAGTGAAGTGACTTAAAATTGATGAGAGGAACTCACTCTTTCTGACTTGTCAGCATTGTAGGTGGCCCCACGCTGTTTTAAAGGTGGTGGTAGACCGCCAGGAGCCCAGAGTGTTGAAAGCACACATAGCTCAGGCATCCGGTTGAGCTCTCCGATCCCCAGTTCCAGCGTTGGACATGGGAGACCTAAGCAGGAACTGAGTCTGGCATAAAGCATGATGCGTTTGGAAAATGTGTCTTTCTGGAAAGCATTGCTTTTGGGGTGGGTGAAGCAGGCACAGTGGGCACACAGCGGCCGGGCTGAGGCCTCAGGTCCCTGTATAGAGCTGTGCTGAGCTCTGCTCTAGGCCTGGACTTGGCGCGAAGACAGAACAACATTAAGTGTGGACGTCTCACTGCCTCCTGGTTTTCTGTCCGGTTCCACCCTAGAAACTACTGCTAGATCAGCTTAAGCTTCGCATAATTACTCCTCCCAGAGGACGGCAAACCTTGGCGCCCAGAACCAATTGCCTCAAAAGTGGTAATGTAACCTTTCTACTGACGTTATTGCTATTTTCTGAAATTAATATAGTTTTTGCTTATGGAGA